TTTTAGATCATGCAAGATCTCGTGGTTAAGCCAAGGTGGTCTTTTGCCACATTTTCTATCTTTCCTAACCAGCGGAATAGCTTGCTTTTGGGCCCTTAATAGTGTCCCTTTGAAAAACCTTTGCACTTCTTCCAACTCACCTGCCCTCCTATGGTCAGGTAACCCGTTTGCTTCATGATTTCCTGCAGCTTCTGATCTATCTCTATACTAGAGAGAGAAGTGGAGAAAGTTTGGATGAAGACAACATACCAAATCAAGTGACTGGCTCTGAGAAGGAGGCGCTCCCCTGACATTTACCAGAGGCCAGGTCAGAATCCAAGCTAGGCACTGGCTGAGGACCCAAACCCACCTGTAACAACAGGCTCATCAAGTCTAGTGGTCCCCCCGCCCTGTGGCACTGGATTAGCCCAGTGAGCTGGCTAGCCCACCAGAATAAGGTCAGGCAAATCTCACTGGCTGAGCCAGGTGGCCTGCTCCACCTCATTGGCCAAGCCAGCTGGCCCGCAACACCAGTTTACAGGACATGTACACAAAATAGGTGATTGGTGCAGCAGCACCCTGTAGAGGGAGCCAGCTAGCCAGGCCAAGAACAGCAGCCCCAGGGGTTTCCTTCGTTCAGTCCCATCACCACCACTTGGGAGGTGGTGTCCTTTCCCCACTGCTTACCTCTCCATGCTCCTGGGGATGGGGAAGGATGGCTGGGGCAGGCCCAGCATGTGGCGGGGACGCGGCTGGTGCGTTTGATGCTGGGGAGAGTTCTCCGAGGAAGAGGAGCGGCTGCTGCCATCGTTCGCCAGGGGGAGCTGCAGGGCTGTGGGAGTGAGCGAGAGTCAGGCACTCGGATGCCTGGGTCCCTTTCCACCCTCTGCTCCAGAGAACCCCCCCGTCTGCTGCATCTTATAGCCCCAGATCCCTGTCTGTGTTGCACGGGGTTGTGGGGGCCTCGCTGAAGGAGGATGCAATACCTACAGCCATACTGCTTACCATCCAGCACCCGGGCTTCCAACATGCCCCGTCACTGACACTGCCCATCAGAGAGCAAAGCCCTGTGTGGATGCCACTAGCGGCTGGAATGCACAGCACCAACCCTTCCCCTCGCCCTGGGCCATGCCACCCTGGAGCAAATTGTAGGGAACTATGTTGAACTGGCCTCCATGGGGCGACAGGCCAGGTAAGACATAATGGGTCTTCTCGCATTTACGTTCCATGGTTCAATAAAACAGATTTTCCCACACAGACTGCAAACGCCTGTTTCTCTCTCATACTAGGGTTGCTCACCCCAGGCCTCAGCAAAGTGGTTAACAGCTGTTGGGAGTGACTGTGCTGTGCTGGAATCCCAGTGCTAGATGCACACAGACACACAGGATACAGCTGGGTTTGGGCTGCAGATTGGTCACTGCAAACGATCCTGACCCTTCCTTAGATCAGCTTATCCTGGTGGGTTTATAGCCTGGGCACTGAAGCAGAGACAGAGGCAGCTGGGTGATTTGTCCAAGGCCACCGCAAGTTAGGGTAGGGAACCCAGGCATCCTAGCCTGAGATTTAACCACACGACGGGCGTTGTGTAGCTAAATACCCCTAGTCGCTTTTGCAATTCTCAGCCCTGACTCCCAGCCTGCTGCCCACACTCCCCGCTATGCCGCGGCATGGTCTGCTGTAATTCAGCCGACTGGCACCGACTGGCAGCATGCCTGAAATATAAGGAGTCCATCGGGTGAGATTTAAGGAAGTGGTCAAAGATGGAGCCTCTTCAGGTGTGTCAGTTTCCCGGATCAGTTTCAACATAAACCGTTTGTCCCCATGTTAACAAGGGAAGCAGCTCTGCACCGAAAGGCTGGGAACCTGCCAGAATGAGAAGACGAGAAACCAAGGCCCACTGTTTGCCCTTGGAAGTTTGAGGCGAGGTTTTACTGGGGTAAGTCCATGAACAAGCAGGAAGGTCGCTGTGGTTGTTACCCGGCCTTACCACATTCAATACCACACTGGTAACGGGGAAGAGGGGAAGGGCTGAATCCTCCCATAGGCTTGAAATAAAACAGCCCCTCCCACATACTGGGGCAGGGGAACCATGTGAGGCACAGAGAGTAGCTAGTGCATATGCTCAACAGCTCAGAACATGTGTGGGACACCCTTTCTGAACTTCTTCCCACTCACGTGCCAGAAACCCAGAGCTGTGGCCTCTGCTTGCAGGAGCGCACCTGTAGTTCACATCCAGACCTCACTGCCCAAGGGGGAGGGGCTGTCCTCGAGACTACAGATTCCAGCATACAATGCTGCCAGGTCTCCGAAGAAGTGGAGCACAGCATGCTGGGATGTGTAGTCCGTCCTCTACTCACAGACTGTACCCCCTTGTTGAAGGTAGGGAGGCTGACTGTTGAACTTGATGGGTTGCGCTTTGGCTAGAAAGTTGCTGCCACATTCTGGCCTCACTCTGCCCAAGGCATCGCCCCAGAGGTCAGTGGAGTTACCGCAGCTCAGCAGAGTGGAATCTGGCCCTCGGTATTTAATATTATGCAGCTTACCGCAAGCAGGGGCTTGCTAAAATCATCCCACCTCAAATAATTTCCAGAAACTCCCCACGCCAGCTTTCAATGGCCAAGCCAAACTACCCTACGCTGTTAGCCTGGGCTGAAGGGAACACCCCTCATCCCAAGGGCAAGGCCACTTATGGAATTGCAACAGCTGGTAACCTGGGACTGCAGAGTTATTAGATGAGGGTTCAAAGCACGTTGTGCCCAGGAGGGAAGGGCTGCAGCTGCCGCGATAGGAGAGCTGGTGAAGGGACCCTGATCCTTTCAAACAAAGACATCTAATGCCCATTGACTGAGCCAGAACCCAATTCCCACACACAGGTCAAAGAAGAACCATTTCCCCACATTGCCCCGAAGCAGCTTGAATCTGATCAATTTCAATAGCTTGAAGAATCTTTTACCAAACAAAAATACTTTGCCCTCCTGCCATCAGAGGATCTCAAAGCACATTGGCAAATAAGCTCTGACAAGCCGAGTAAGTATTATTCACCTGATACAGAAGGGCCGGCAGGGAGAGACTTGCCCAGGGCAACCCCAGCAGAACAAGAAGTTGAACCCAGGAGTTCTGGCTCAGTCTCTTTTGCTGAATTTGTTCTAACCACAAGTCAATGCTCCCTTTATAAATTTGCTTCCACACTTGCTGGTGTATCCAAGTGCTGCAATACTAGAATGGAGGACTGCCCAAGCCAGGACTTGAAAACGCTCCGCTCCCATGTGAAGTGATCCAATTCCTCCTGGATCTTTTAAGATCACTCAAGGCTCACTTTGAAAGGTCCCACCGCACTGAAAATATAGGGCCAAACCCTCCAGCGGTGTAAATCAGGGTAGTGCTATTGATGTTAGTGAAGCTATGCTGGGTTACACTGGCTGAGGACTCTGCCCACTGGTTTTTAACAATAAACTACGTTGGCATGTTCCCTCCGGCTTTAACGGCTGCTTGTCAAAGGCTACGTCTTCACTACCCGCCGATCCGGCGGGTAGCAATCGGTTTATCGGGGATCGACTTACCGCGTCTCGTGAGGACGCGGTAAAATCGATCCCTGATCGCTCTGCCGTCGACTCCGGAAATCCACCTCGACAAGAGGCGGCAGCGGAGTCGGCGGCAGCGGTCGGCTTTCCCCCGTCCTCACCGCCAGGTAAGCCGACCTAAAATACGCAACTTCAGCTACGGTATTCACATAGCTGAAGTTGCGTATCTTAGGTCGGAACCCCGCTGTAGTGTAGACCTAGCCAAAGAGAGTGAAGTTCTCTCCCCATCCATGCAAGCAACCACCTCCCCTCCATCATGTCATGATCCAAAGTGTGCCACATCCCAAGGACTTCAATAGCATCCAATTCCAAGCCCAACTAAGTTAAATCAACTTGAGTGGACTTTGGCTCCGACAGGGCGGTGCAATAGCTAGGGCAGCTGGAGATCTGAGTTCTGTTCCCGGCTCTGCCACTGATTTACAAGCAGGGTCCTAGACAAGTCACTTCCCCCTATCTGTGCTTCTGTTTTCCCTCCCACCCTTAGCTTGTGTTGTCTGATTAAACCATCAGATCTCTGTGGCATAGACTGACTGTCTCTGCATGCTGTGCCCAGAGTATGAGGGTCCTGATCTCGGTGGAAGCCACTTGGCACTGATTGTAATATAAATATTTATTTATTATTAATTCTGAGCTCCATAGAAAATGCCCCTAGTTCCAAGCGGCTCACACTGATCACAAAGTGCTTTACAAGAGAGGGCAGTATTATACCCATTTTACATATGGGGAAACTGAGAGGGGCCATGACATGCCCAAGGTCCCAAAGCAGAGCACAGATGGGACTAGAACCTATACCCATCGTATCCCAGCCCAGGATGTGCCGCAGTCAGCCACACTTCCTCCCCAACTCAATAGGAACACTAGGTATTCAAAAAATCTGGCCCAAACTGAGCCTGGAAGGACCTGGTTCCCAAATTCTGGGCTGTGAAACCAGTGATCGGGGTCCAATTGGGCCAGGTGCTGTAGATCCCCCTTGTCCCCTGATCAAGCTTGGGGTCCCCATCATGCTGGGTGCTGCAGACACATGATGAGAGACTTTCCCTGCCCCCAAAAGCACACAGTCTAAATAGACAGAGGGGAAACTGAGGCACAGAGCAGGGAAGTGATTCACAGGAGGTCCCACAGCAGTTAAATGGCAGAGTCAGGAACAAAACCCAGGTGTCCTGATTCCCAGGGCAGTGGCTGATCTGCTGAACCACATGCTGTAAAACCACAAAACTTGGCAGGAGGCCTTAGGGACCGGTGGAGTCTGCCAACACCCTGTCTGCACAGTGGGTTTGCCCCAGTTACTGCACCACTGTGCTGACACCCGAGCCCGCTTCACACCAGGTCAACCTGGCCTGGCATTGAGGAGGTGGGGGCTGCGCCAGTGGTTTGCTGCACTGCTGCCCACCGATGGCTGAAATCCCCACTTGTGGAAAAGGCCTGAAAACCACTCCACAGACCAGGTCTGAAACTGTCCCTTTAACCGCATCTCACCCAGCTGTCCAAAGGGGAGAAGATAGCTACCACACAGGGTGGCTGGCTAGGAGATCTAATGTCTGAGGGGTGGCACGCGGTAGCAGGTTAGGTCTGAGACCACAGCTGGGATCTAAGGCCTAGCTCTGAAACTGGCCAAAATTTGCAGATGTGACTTGAATTTCAGCACTTAGGGTCCACAGGAGCTAGGGGCATCCAGCACCTCTAACAATAGAGCCTTGTAGCATCTACCAGCCCCAGTCAGGGATCATGCCAGGTGCTGTACAAACACAGAACACAGACAGACCTTACCCCAAAGAGCTACATCCAATCAACCTGCTCTGAACCCCACAGATGGTTGGAATCTCCATTTGTCTAATTTCCTCTGGAAGCTGGTACCACAGTATTATGGGTTCTATCTCCTGGCTCTGGGAGGAGCCATGAGACCTAGGAGGTTAGAGGTGGGGAGATGGGAGTCAGGACTCCTAGGTTCTGTTCCTGGCTCTGGGAGGGGAGTGGTATCTACTGGTTGGAGCAGGGGAATGATACTGGGATTCCGGATTCTCATCCCACCTTCTTGCTGCATGACCATGGAACAAGTCCCCTTCTCCACTGGCTGAATGAGAATAACCCTCATCTAAGTCATCTCAAAGTTGACACCCAAAACCACCAGTCAGTTCTGGAAGAGCTGGCCTGACTGCATGGCCTTGGGCAGATCACGGTATCGGTGGCTTGGTTACCCACCAGCAAAACAAGGATAACACTGCCCTATAACCCAGCCTCCGAGGGAGGCAGT